TGCAGGAGACCAAGCTCCAAACTGAACGGCCAAAGGAAGGTTAATTCAGAGCAGGAGGCAGGGTTATGCAGGCTCTGATCTGTGGTGAGCCCCGAGCCCCAGCTAGGACACCCCACTCCAGCCTTACCAGTGCTGTGCCTGCTGGGGCTCACTGGGAAGGCTCAGGTGGGCTAATTTCTCAAATAAATCAGCCTCGCAGTGCTTGCAAGCACTGACTGCTTTGGAGAGTGTCTTGGTAGAGCCCTCGCCCCCCAGCATGTGCTCGCAGAGCAGTTTGTCCCGCTGGGGCTTGTGCTGTGGGGACAAAACATTCGGGTCTTGCTCAGCTCTTCTCCTGGCACTGGCGTCTGCACCGTGGCATTCGCTGGCCTGCGTGGGACCTTCCCTCAGTGCCCAGCAGTCACTGGAGGAGGCTGCACGGTGACTTTTGTGACTTGGAGAGTATCAGAGGGGCTGCAAATCCCTCTCAGCCCTGCCAAGACCCTTCAGCTGAGAGTGAGCTGAGGGCTGTGCTGGCTCCCCACTCCCCTGGCTGTTCATGCCCAAAATCCAGGCCCCAAACGCAGTGATAAGACAGCAGCTCGCTGTACAGTATGTTACAGTGTTGGACAGCTTATCTTCTCCCCTCCTCCAGCCTGGGCCGCATGAGCCAATCCCCACCGCTGCCAACGGCCCATGATGTGGGGCCCAGACCAGGCGAAGGACTGCACTTCATCCAATTTTGGCACAGCGAGTTTAGCACTTGCTTTACAGAGGTTTTACCCTATAGCTCTGGACACCCTGCAGGGCGGTACCTAAAGGGCAGCTGGTGCAGGACCAGCAGGGCAGGAGCCAGGAGGAGACTGAATAATTTTTGTTTCTTGTCCATGATGCTCTCCGTCGTTTCCCCACAGTCTCTACCCCTGATTGCTGGGAAATGCCCAGACGCTCTGGTCTTTCCTTCCTCCTGGGATTGTTTCACGTAGCAGAACTGACTAGTGCCCTTGTCCTGCCGCGTCTGGTGTGGCCCTTCCCCAGTGGAAATGCAGAGAGTGTTTGATGCTTGGAGGATGTGACCTGCATAGCGAGAGCTCGCATCCATGTCTCCTCTGATGTTTCCCCTGCCAGCGCCAGCCTGGCTCCAGGGTCACTCAGGGACCTGCAGCATCCTGCGCTGAGCAGCGGAGCAGGCAGGTGAGGACGGGCCACTGCTGGCAGAGCTTGTTCCAGCGCTGGCTGCTCTGGTGCTCTCTCCCACTGTGACACTTGCGGGTGCGTCTCCAGTGACTGGCCCATCCGAGGGAAATCAGCAGAGGCAGTTGCAGGAGGGAGGTTTCACCTGTAGGTCTGAAATGGAAGTATTTAAATCTTTGTTGGGCTCCCAGTGGCCTTGCACACCGTTACAGCAGCACGGAGTTTTCTTCCTTGAGACAAACCAACTCAGCTGGCTGATCCCACTGTCCCCACGGCATCAAAACCCCTGAGAGTGTCCCAGACTGTCACATGCAGCGGACGCCTGTCACTGCTTCCTTCCTCCCCACGCAGGAGCCCAGAGTCATCATGTTTCGCTTGCCGGGAAGCTCTGGCAAAGTGCAGCAGAGCCCTGCCCGTGCGCAGGGACCTGCCCGGCCCAGGCAGCGACGCTTCCTGCCCAGCTCTGCCCTGGGAATTCCTCTGATGAGGCTGCTCCCTGCAGCAATAACCTTTTATGGTTCCCAGCCAGAGGCGAATTAAGCAACTGCAATACCTAATCTGCTTAATGTTCCCCTAAAGCAAACAGCGTATGTTCTTGAAAGTGTCATTTTGTCATCCCATTTCCAGCTTCAGCTGAGTAAAGGTGAACGCTGCTGTCTGCCGGTGCCTGGGGAGCTAAGATATCCGGTCCCCTTATCACCACACCGCAGCTAGACGGAGCACGGGTCCTTTCAAACAAGCTCAAGCGCAGAGTCCAGGAGACTCGAGAGGCTCCAGAGTTTGCCATACTTGCTGATACATGGGTGACCAGCTCGATCGTGGATGTAGGGATGTTCACAGCCCCTCAGACCTGCCTTCCTCCTGTGCATGCTCCACACTGGTCTTACCTTGCTTGTCGCGCCAGAACCTGATGCCTGAAAGCGTTTTTCCCCCGTGAGCCCCTCCAGCAGCCGCTCTTGCCGAAGAGTCCACACAGCTCGTCCCTATACACGGTGCCAGCCCAGCATCAACCGACTGAGGCGTTAGATGCGGGGAGCCCTGAAATGTTGTGTCTGGTGCTCACACATTGCCTAAAATGGTCTCCCCATGGCTGGAGCCCCATGCATGCTGCGTGCTGCTGCCTAACAGCCACTGCCACAAGTTCACCGGAGGCTGGCTGCAAAACTGATTTATCACGTGTTGAACGGGAGTGTCTGAAGTCTCCGAGGAGGATATAAGTCGTTCGGTGGGCCTGGAGGGGGTCTGTTGACTGCCGCCTATGTCTTGGCCAAATCCTGAGCCCTGCATGGCACAGGCAGAGCACAGGGAATATTTTCCAGGCCTCTGAGGAGCTGACTCCGTTCCAGGGATCCACTTCAGAGCTGCAGGCTGGAGCCTGGTGCAGGCCCAGCGTAGCCTTGGCAGGACAGCCGGACCCTGCTTGGGAGGAAAAAACCTCTTTGTTTTAGCTAAACCTGCAGGCCAGGGCTCCGGCCTCTGTCAGGCCACAGCGCTTGTCAGCTCCTGCAGCTACATCCCTGCCGCCTCTCAGGGCTTTGCTGCTTTCTCTGTGGGTAGTTCGCTGCTGCAAGGGATGGCGAGGGCAGGGAATCTCCTTTTCCTTCCTTCCTTGGACTTGTATGAGGGGAAGCACCATTTGTCCTCGTCCCCCTGGGACCCTCACCACCACCTGGTTGCTCCCCTTGGGTCCATTCTACCTTAGCCTTCATCCTAGCCTGTTTTGGGGGTTCAGTGGCTTTTACTGCCCGCTGACATCTTCGGCTGTCCAGTTTCCTACAAGCTCATGCAAAGACCTGCACTGGTTCCAATGTGTATTCACTTCAAAATGCTGATTTTTTGATTGCAAGCTGAACAGAGGCAATCCAGGTGCATCTGAGGAAAGCAAAAGGTGATGTTCAATGGCTCACTGAACCTCTGCCAGTTTTACAGATAGAGCATTATAGATGTGGCTCAGGGACATCCTGGGCAGGAATTCGTCTATTAATTAAAAAATGTCTTGTGAAGTAAATTCTACAGCCTTGCTAGAAAGCCTGTTTCAAATTTTCCCTGCTCTTATAGTTAGAAAACCCTTAATTAAAATAGTGCTTTCACAGAGCGTTTTCTTTCTATATTATTTATAGGCCTTCACTTGAAATTACTGCACACATTTAAACACACCAAACCCTCCTTGAAACAGAAAATCTGGCATCTGCAGCGTGCAGCAGGATCCAGGGAACAAACCTCCAAACTCTCCCTCACGTTTGCTGCCTTCTTCTAGTTGGCACCACGCATTGCGTAGCATTAAAACCTGCAGCAGGATGCAAGGTTTCCAAGAGTGTGTTTTTTAACAATACCTTCCTCATATTAATTTTTTTGTACTTGGCTTTCCTGGAGTATGATGGGTTTCTAGCAGTTTCTTGCTGTTTTTTCCCATTGGCTAGATATGGCTGCTTACAGTCTCTTGCTATTGTTCTCTGCATCTTCAGAGATCCACCACTGTGCTTCAGCCAACAGCCTGGCTTTTTTCCATTCGCCTCAGCTGTATGTATCTCGAAGGAATAAAAGGCCTCCGTGAGTCATGCGATGGTTTAGAGATCGTGGCTAACATTTACAGTGTGTCTCGTTACATAGGAATGTGCTTCAGTCAGCTGGACGATGTATTGTACCATGAAGCACTTCCAGACCTTGTTTTTGCTCCTCAATGAGTTATCGGATGGTGTACGCACACTCAGGTTCACACTCGCTTCGCACTCCTGCGTGGGGAAAATCCACGAGTGAGCCGGCACCAGGAGAATTATGCGCTCCCGCTATTGCTCTGCATATTCAGTGTTGTCTGGAATCACCAATGTGCCTTTGGCCGCCCAGTGGCATTCTTTATTCCTTACGGATGAAAATAAAATCACTGTCAGTATTTTGATTCGTACATTTCTGTTTTAAAGGTCCATAATATCAATAACAGCCATCAAAACATGCTTAACTCTTCTGTTTTACTGTGGAAACAGCCTCTGCAGCACAGGACATCCTACGAGTGTCTGGCTGGGATGGTGCAAGCCTGGTCTCTGCTCTTGCATGTGCCATGGCTCGAGGGATGAAGTTTCTGCTGTTAGGAGAACCCTGCACCAGGTTCCCACAGGGTCAAGGCTGCCGAGGTCCTGAGATTGCCTGGCAGTGCCTGTCTTCAAGGGGCGAGGGAGCAGAGGGCCATGTGGAGCATTTCAGTGCTGCCTGATGTCACCTCTCTGTGTGTGGCTGATTTTACATCCCTCCTGGCCATCTTCTCACATGCTGTGACCTTCTCTGTCTTGCAGGGTCCGATTGCAAGCCATGCTTAAGGGAATTCACTGACCACAGCACCCCTGCTTTGGAGTATCACAACCCAAAAAGCTTCCTCCCATCCCTGATTGCTGAGGATGACACCTTCTGCACCAGCATGGCTGAAGAAAAGGCAAGTGTCCTTTTTCCTTCCACTACCACTGTGCGAGGCAGGAGCCAGGGTCAGCAAACTGGGTGGTCAGCACCATATTCAGAGGGGCTGTGGTGCAATAAAGACCGGGGAAAGGGGTACCGATCCAGACTATCAAGGAATACAAGGTTATATTGCTTCTCCTGCTGGGAAAAAACATACGTCTGTGCTTTGCGTCGGCATTTGGGGGAATAAGGCACAGAGAGATCTCAGGGACTGGAGGAAGCCAAGCTGCTGGGGCTGGGGCAGGTCTGGCTGCGAGGTGCAGCAGGAGAGTGCTACTATTAGAAAGTCTGGTTTGAGGAGCCCAGCTGCAGGCCTGGCCCCGCCAGCTGCAGGTGGGCTGTTTGCCATGAGAAAGGAAAGCAAAGCCGCTCCAGCTCTGCACGGGAGGTGTCCCCTTCGCAGGATGCGTGCAAGGCTCTCAGACGGGATTTGTGCGCTCAGGCTAAGCTGTCGCTGCCTTTGCAGGAGGACTCATCTTCCACAGAGCTGGATGTCCCAGCAGCGGACTTGCACAGCAGCATGGAGGATCTCCTCTCAGACTCTGCTCTCCATGGCACGGAGTATTACAGAGATCTGGGACTCCTGAGCCCACCAATTGCCAAAACAGCGCCAGAGACGGCAGCGCAGCCAGAACAAGCAACCCAGGCTGTGTCTGCCATTCGCTTATTGGAAGAGAGACCAAGGGCTCTGAGCAAAATGTCTGTGGATGTTGCTTTTTCCAATCCCGTTTCCTGCTCGGTACGTTACGGCGAGGCCGACTGCCACTTTCTGAACAAAGGCCGCATTTGCTCCTGTGCAGCAGTGTCGGAAGATGGTACCAGCTCTTCTGAGTGTCCTGCAGAGGCAGACAAAGAGCTGGAGCTGCAGGAGGCCACGGAGTCCTTCCCCACGCTGGTGAGATCTATGTCTACCTCTCGGAGGCACAGCTGGGAGAGCCCTTTATCACCTGCGGACAGCAAGCGCAGGTAAAGCAGGATTGTGAGCAACATTTGTTATATACGGTACAATGATGCTGCGTGAGGCTGGAGCGATCACCCTGCCCTGAGCTCTAGCTGCTGCTGGGTGGTCTCCCTCCCTCGTCAGCATCTGCCAAAGCAGCTGGACGCCTACTGCTCATGTTGGGTGGGATGTGGACGAACAGATGCTAGGGCAGCAAGAGGCTTTAATATCTCCTTGGCAGTAGGAAGACCCTCTTTTCCTGGTCTTGGGGCCGGGAAGAGGATCTCTCATCTGGGGAAAGCTCATTTCTGTCTGGAGGGAACCTTGAACAGCATCAGCTGCCCTGATGGCCTCCGTCCTCTGGCTCAAAGGGAACTTTGCCCACCCCAGAGGGATTAAGAGAGCTCTGTCAAATCCTTTTTATTCCTGTCTGTGAGTCGACTTGGTGGGGCCTGTGCCTGCAATCACCGCAGTGTCCCCCAGCCTTTTGTCCTCCACGTGGCTGCAGAGGAGAGTGTATTTTGTAGCATGATGCTGAGCTCTGGCTGGGAGCGGTTTCCAGGCCTGGCATTACTGCCGTGCTGTGCTCCTGCCACATGAATGCCTTGGGCTCCGGGTTCCTACATGCGTGCTCTCCCTGCTGACAAATGTATTGATCTCCCGGATGACTGGGAGTTAGGTGTAAGCCAGCAGAACTATTTTTATCTCTCCTCCTTATAAGGTACCCTAAAATTATCTCAGCCTGAAATCTTGGCAGTTCTTTATCAAGCTCAGACTTTGGTTCTCAGACCTGTTGTTGTTCCATGTGCCGTGGATCATTCACAGTTTATGCTGTGTAACAGGCACATGAGCAACGGCGGCACAGAGTGGCTGTCAGTGTCAGGGACTCGTTCGGTCCCCTCGCTGGGTGAAAGCGTGTGTGTGAGCACGGGGCCAGGGAAGGGGAATACGCCCCACTGTCCCCTAAGCAAATGCTTCCTGAAGCCTGTGTCTGGCAGCAG